AACGTTTTATTTATTTTACCAAAGCAAAATGTTGGATCTTCACGCATAAACCTGAGCACGCACTTCAATTTTATCTGAATGCATTCGAACCAACTTTGATACATGCATCCGTGTGTACGCATATGACCTCGTTTAACACCACTTTGATAAACACGTGAATATGTGAACTGATCTGAACGTTCATTAAGACTACCGATCTAAACAAAGTGTAGTTAAAGAATAATATTCTATTTGATTGTAAAAATAAGACTTTTGATTAACTGCATACCTCTTATCTAAAGACAAAATTGATAAATGGATTATTGAGTATTTAAGCTGAATTTAACAAAAATTCTCTTCTTTTGTTTTCTAAAAATTAACAAAACGTATGTATAAACGAAGTAGAAACATAAGATTGCATATTCTAACTCGAGTTCATCAAGTATAACAGTTTCTTCGTCAGCTGGATTTTGATAAAATAAAGATTAACATACTCTAATAATAATTGAATACATTTGTGTTTCAATGCTGAATCAATAAGTACCAAAAAAAAGAGGTTAAATTTGTGTTTAATTATACTGTGATGAATAGCGTTCTATATAACATCTTACATACAGATTTGTTGTTTATTGGGTTATTCTCCATTTAAAAACATTTCATCTAACAAAGCGTCTACATTTGATACGTATTCTAAGAAAGAAAACAACAATACAAATGCATTATTTGCTAATAAATTCCAGCATTTGAACTACCTATTAGATTATGTCGTTTTAGTTCAGTTTCTTTACCATATTCATCTGGTATGTTCTTAGTGGTAATTTTGTAACTATAGACAGATCAATTAAAAATGAAACAATAGGTTTTTGATACAAATTAATCTATTACCAATGAGATCCATGAAAATAATATGCTTTTTGTTCAATGAGATCGATGATGCGTTTAACATGGCTTTCTAAATCGGTACTGGTCTCTGTACGAGTGCGACATTATGACCAAATTTTGATCTGAAAATAAAATAATGTAAGAATAGAGATCACCTAATTTTGTTTCTTAATTACCGTAATTGTGTCAATGCTTGACATTCATTCTAACAAGTTTATTAATAAATGTCAGAAATGGTATATTATAACGATTCAATTGTCTAACCATAATCATTGTTCGGCTTTAAACATTAATTTAAACTATTTATTATGATAAAAAAAGAAAAAAACAAAATGAAAAAAATGACATATGAAGACATCAGAAAACTTAAAATCGCCGAAAGGCATTGCACTTAACAGTCTGAGTTAAATTATTCGTAGATAAAAATATTTTAAAGAAAAATGAAAAGATGAAAATTTAGATCTAAAAGACCACAGCATCATATTTTCTTTCAATACAATACATTTTAAAACCGTTTAGTTTTCTGAAATCAGCAAGTAATTTTTTTTAAAAACACAGTTTAGTGCAAGTTTGAAATTCTTTTGCAGCTGATTCCATTCGGTGGCAAATCGAGGAAAAAAAGAAAGCTCATATTTTTTTGATCCGGTGAATGTGATCCTTTAAACATTATTCACGACTAGTATGACACCACCTAATACATGTAATACACGTTCCACTTCTATGACGAAATTAACATGGCCTGAAAGATGAAAGGTGGTTATATATTATGACGCATCATGACATTTTTCCCATAGGTTCACCTGGAGTATTAATTGAATTTGAACCCATTATCGCTTCACCACCATCTTTTCCTTTTACCTATGAGAATAAAAAACATGCCCAAGGTCGTCATTTTTCGCTTTATTTTCCATTCTAATGCACCTCGTGTACGTGATGTATACATCCACTATAAAACAGAATGCGTTCTGACATTGTATGAAGGATATAATCACAATGAAATTTAAATTGTTCGTTATGTTTTTCTCGCATTGATGTATATCCCTGATAAGAATAAAGCTATAAAAAAACAAATTTTTACTTCCCACCTTCCGTTCGAAGTTTAGTTAATTTAAACTCACTTCTTTCGCAAGATCGAACAAATGCCGTTGGATCTTAAAAATGTAAAAAATATGATTAGCAAGAACTATATTAAAAAATGTGATTCATTCAGAAACTGGTGCCATTATTAGGTAACTGATTCACTTAGAAACATTTCTAACTTGTTTTAAATCGCATATCGTGATAATATTATTAATAAATAAGAGACGACAAACAACAATTCTCGCATCATTTAAACAACTGAATTTATGCATAATAAATCTAATCGGGCACGCAATATCTTGATTACGAGATCTATACTTGCTGGAAGAGTTGAAGTTTAAAGCATATAGAATATAGAAATGATCACATAACTATCTCGCGGAAGTTTAGAAAAATAGCGAAAAAAAAGGGTGCGATCAATAAATATATTCTGAAGTCTAACATAAACGAAATTGCTTGTGTATTAGGATGGTTTTACAATAAGTAGCTCTTGAACTTAAGTCTCAACTTAAACTTACGAGTTAAATTACGTTAGTTAAGGATTGATTTAATTCTGAATGTGTTATCAGAGATCATAACCCCTTAACTATCACAGGTCACCGAACGCAACCAAAACTACAAATGTTGCAAAAAATAAACGAAGCATCAAATTCAACTGGTGAAAATTCTATGTATAGTAGACTCTGCAAGCTAATGGTTGATAAAAGTCAGCATTTTCTCAGAAAGCTCTGTACTGAGAAAAATCAACAAATCATCACCAAAAACGCCTATAAGGACAAAAATTTTGAAAAATGCATATTTCAATCCCAAAGATTTGGAAAATTAAATCAACTTAAGCTTTTGTACTACTCACTAGGATCTATCGAATGAAATTAGTCTCGGTCAAAAAGCGATTTATCACCTTGAAAGGTTCCTGCGTCAAATTACCAAAATCTACGAAAAACAAATGTAGCTCAGTTATGCTAGATTAGAGCACAACCTCAAGACTACTGTACAAACTGTTGCTTGTTGGAAATTAGTATTGAAATAAAAAATAAAAAAGGACTAAAATAGTTAGTTTAAAATATCGTTCTGTTTCTCTTCTATCTATTCTAAGTAAGATATTAGAAAGATTTGTGTATAATCAGTTATTTTCTTACTTGGACAAACATAAATTCTTTTCTCCTACTCAATTCGGATTCCGTCCTCTTTCAAGTACAGTTGATGCGTTTCTTTTTTAACACATCATCTTTATCAAAACCTAGAGTTAGGAGTCAATTCTATTATGTTTACATTTGATTTTGAGAAGATGTCTGACCGCGCTCTATTTCAAATTTTACTAACAAAACTATAATCTTTAGGTGAATGTCTCTAAATTACTCAAAATACAGCTGAATCTATTTCTCGAACAGAAATCAAAATGTCTTCTAACTCATTAAAAGGTAGAGGTACTTTTCACCATTATAAGTGTAATTCACTTTTGCTGCTTTCCTCGTACAGGTGCTTTGTAATCAAATTCAGTTTAGTTCAGAAACTAGTTTTTCGTTTTTCTACTTTGTGTTTTAGAGCTAAATGGCAAGTGGCATGATTTCAGAGTGTTTAATCAAGCGACGTCCTAACCCCAAGTAATAGATGAGTTAGACTTTCTCCGTTGTAAGAAGTTACTAATGCTATTGGCAGCTGTTATCGGCAGGTAACCAAACTTCTAAGGCCTTGTACTCTTTTCTCACTTTAGTATTAACTTAAGTCATGTCGATCATACGACTTAAGTCGGAATTAACTTTTTCATCCAATACGGTTACGAGTTTCTCATTTAACTTTTGTAGTCTGAGGCCTGTTTCTCAAAAAAACTTAACTTTTACTTAAGTGAATAATTTCACTTAAGTAAACAAGAAATTATACTTAAGTGTTTTTGAGAAACTCACTTAAGTAAAATATTTTACTTAAGTGAAATTTTTCACTGAAGTAAAACTTAGGTTTTTTTGAGAAACAGGCCCCTGGACAAGACCTAATAACGGACTTTTTCGCATTTTCTATCTCATGGTAAAAGATAGGGCGTTTGTAATTGGCTGCTTCGAAGACGAATTATATTATGAGGAGCGTTGCATTGCGAATCACAATGCGAAAAAAGTGTCCAACATGGTTGATTTAACAGTAAAAATAAGAATTAGCATAATAACGTCCGTTGAAATCTCTTGGGGGTGGCATATATGCTACTGATATGCCATTCATACTCACTCTATATTGCCCCGCTGAAGCGTGTCAATAGCAGTTTTGTTTATAGGGACAATAAACATTTCGAAAAAATTAATAGAAGGTCATGTAACATATTTCTTTTCATCTGTATCCATTTTTGAAGTTAGAACGTTAGAAACCGTCAACGATGTGTTAGTGACGATTTACAGTGAAGTTCATGGAGTACTGAGCTCTTTAAGAAGCCAACTAAATGAGGAAAAAGATTTTAGATATTTATATTATGACTAGATGAAATAGTAGGCAGAAAGAATAGTAACAAAATCATGATTTTCATCACAAATCGAATCCCTCTTTGGTTGTATTACTGGAAATTTCTTTCTTCTATCAAACAAGAATACTTTTGGTATTTGGAATGCTTCCAAACAGAAATGCACTTATGCCAAGACCATCAGATACAGTGTTGTTTGTAATGGGAATTCAAATCGGAGAGCGGTGATATACACATTATTTTTTAAATCCAGTACAGAGAGCACAGAATAAACGATGTTCAAAAAAGAAGTGAAGCAACATTCAATAGCATGGATGAAACTTGTAGTTCATCTCATTGTTTTAATAAGATTCGTAACTAAGATGAGAAAGTACACAGATTTTAAGAAAACAAAATTATAACTTTTTTTCACGACATATGCAATTCTTTGTTCTATTTAACTGGTGATGTGTAAAGTAATACTTTTTTTTTTGAAAGGGCTTAATCCCAATATAGAGCAAAAACATCATAAAAACTTAAATGTTTTGAATATTATATAAACTTAAATGAAAACTCAATTTTGCTAAGTTTAGATGAAATTATAACCACATGAATAATTTCACTTGATGGAAAAATCATGAAGACAACAGATGGCCAATATATTGTTGATTTTTCACAAACAGCATTTGCTAAACAAAACTTATCAGTGTATCGAGTAAGTGTTATTTTTGTCTTACATACATATTTAGTTTACCATATGTTTGTTCGTTTCCACTTATAGCACTGGCGTCGGTTACATCGACAACAACGTAACTTTCTTATAGCAGCTATTTTATTATTTCTTTTTATCTATGGTGGTTATAAATTTCGGCGTTCAAATTGGCCATCATCTGTACCACACGAAAAATATCAAGTAGAAATTGAATTAGATAAAAAATCTCGACAAAAAATAATTATTGTAAGTGTTTTCAATGGCGATTGCTAATTTTTTTGTGTTACCTCGGGTATCATGAAGTAGCAGAAATCCTTACCTTTTATATTATTCTCACAAAATAGAATGAAACGTTACATTATAGTGCGGTAAATTTTTCCTTTGAGTTTATCAGTATATTTTACTAGTGCTAAATCTGTTTCAAGTATTATTTATTGATAGTTTATGCAAAAATAAACGGTTGCCAAGTTCACACAAAACTTTTTCGAGAAGCGATGATCCCAAATGCAAAAGGACAATCGATCAACGAATTTCACACAATTCGAAAATGTTTTCCAGAATTGACTTATTTAAATTGTTAGAATTTAAGTAGATTCATCTATTCAATAAGCATTTTATGCCCTCATTTTCCTTTCTACCATCATATTTTTTAAAAAAGTCCTATATCTTTTGAGAAAATGTATTAACAATTTTATTAATATTTTTAAAATCAAGTTGCTCAAATATTTTGAATATTTCAAAAACAAATCGCGAGTACAAGTACTCAGTAATCTGTACTCGACCATTTCTGGCTACTAGAATTCTTATTTTATAATAGTTTTTTTTATTGTTGTAATTATTTTTCATATTTCGATCAGAATACTAGTAAGTTTGATAAAAACAAAGCACAACATGTTCAATATACACAAAATATATTTTTAAATGGATTATACCGTTTTGCTAACAATAGAATATTTTCTTTATTGTAAAAAAATAATTATTTGGATCCAACATGATAAATTTGTTTTTTTAGGCAAAAGCCATACTAATTAAAATATATTCAATATCAAACAGTACATACATTCTTCTTGTTTTTTTCTAGGACAGTTTGAAATCGAAGCCTACAACATTTCGATTTTCAGGTATGATAACGCTGACATTTTCGTGATTATGCAATATACAAAATTGATTAAGTCGTTCTTTCTAGCACCAGCAAATAAATATCAAATAGCTGTGAAAAATGCGATGGAACATGCATGGAAAGCCTATAAAACATATGCATGGGGAAGCGATGAAGTAAAACCAATATCAAAAACACCATCGCCATGGTAAGACATTTCTATATTTTTTGCTATTCTTATTGTTTCTCGTAGTAAGAGTCAAAATTGTGTTTTTTTTTGAATATCTTTATTTTTCGTATTCGACTTACTGTTATGAATTTTTTTTTGGGTTCGGACTTGGTTTGACGATTGTCGACTCTATCGATACCTTGTACATAATGAATATGGTAGAAGGTATCAAATTGTTTTTAATATTTTTATGTTAATTTATTATTTTCTACACCTTCTAGAATATAACGATGCACGTGAATGGATTAAAAAATCGTTCAATGTCGATTCATCATCTGTAGATAAATTTAATTCACATTTTGAAATAACAATTCGAATTTTGGGTGGTTTATTGAGTGCATATCATCTAAGCGAGGATCCTATATTTTTACAACGAGCAGTAAGTTAAAAATATGAATAATAAAATTTAATAAAAAATTTAACAAATTCTTTTCTTTCTTGTATTTAGACTGAATTAGGTGATAGATTGTTAGTCAATTTTGATACACCGTCCGGATTACCATTATCAGAAATTAATATTAACAGAAAAACGGCTAGTGGATATCAGTAAGAATTTATACTTTTCTATTTGACTGAGTAAAAAGTTTGTATTGATGTCGAAATTGTTTTCTTTACTTTAACTTGATATCATTGGAGAAATTCAGTTAATATAATGATAGATCAAATTTCAAGATTTTCTTTTAGCTGGACGAGTGACGCTTCCACATCCGAAGTTGGAACTGTTCAATTGGAGATGCGCGATTTATCTCGTTGCACTGGCGATAAAAAATATGAGATAGCGGCTGATAAATCTTCGAGTGTCCTTCATCGTGCATCAAAAACAGATGGTCTTGTACCAATTTTTATTAATCCAACATCTGGACTGTTTTCGGGCGGCGTGATTTCATTTGGTGCTCGCGGAGATTCATATTATGAATATTTACTTAAACAATGGTTACAAACAGGACGAACGAGACAAACGTGAGTTGTCTAAAAACAGTGTCGATCAGAAATGAACCGAGCGTTATAATCCTGGCTCGTGAAACCAGACAAACGATATGTTTTTGAAAGATTACTAGGGATAAAAGAGCTAAACCTTTTCCTTATCTGAAATATGATCACTTTTATTGAAATTATCACGAAAAATTCTGTTAATTTCTGCCACTTTTGCTGCTATTTAAAGAACATTTGATGCTGCTGAATTAATACAACGTTGAAAAAAAGTTTAACGTTCACAAATTGTGAACGATGTATTAGTTGTCCAGTCTTTCTAAAAATAAGTAGTGGTTATTGTTTTCTAACCATTTCTACAAGATAGTGGAACGGAAACGAAGAGGGAGGAAATCCATGAAGCGAGTCTCACTTGGCAACGTAGCGAAAGTGAAATGTCATAAAAAAGAAAATCGAATCCTGTGTCTATTCCATTATTTTACTACACATTGTCTATCATAGTTTTTGGCAAGATTGGATTGAATGCGTCGATGGTGTTCAAAAACATCTTTGGCGACATTCTTATCCACAGCACCACTGGTTTGTTGGTGAATTGTTCTCATTATCTTCCTTCAATCCAAAAATGGTATATTGTTTATCTCAAAATATATTGAAAAGAATTTTATTTTTATGATTTTATTTAGGATCATCTAGCGTGTTTTTTGGCGGGTAATTTAGCATTAGGTTGGCATTTTCACCATAATTTAACATATCTATTAGAAATGGCTAAAAATTTGACAGCAACATGTTACGAAATGTATCGTAAACCAGAAACAGGTTTGAGTCCTGAAATAACATATTTTAATATTGATCCAAGTTCAACAGTCGATCTAATTATTCATGTAAGTAAAAATTTCATAAGATATGTTTTATATAAATTATTAAACATTTTTTTCTTTATGTATGTGTTTAAAGTCTATATTTTGTATGTTTAGGATAATGATGCTAAGAATTTATTGCGTCCAGAATTAATTGAATCATTATATTATATGTATCATTTAACAAAGGATAAAAAATATCAAGAATGGGGTTGGAAAATATTTGAATCATTTGAAAATTATACACGTGTTCAAAATGGTGGTTATACGACAATTGACGACGTTGTTCATAAAGACAATGTCAAACCACGAGATAAAATGGAATCTTTTTTTCTAGCAGAAACATTAAAATATTTTTATCTATTATTTGATGATACTAATTTATTTCCATTTGATAAATGGATATTTAATACGGAAGCACATCCATTACCCATCTACGATTCTTAGAATTAAAATTTTACAAATATCTGATATCTGATAGCATTTTCTTCTCTTTAACTTTTTGTCTTTGTAATTTAATCATTTGTTAAATATATACACTCTTTTAGTTGTTATTGTTTTTCTGTGTACCGGTGGTTGTTATTGTATTTGTATTTTATTGTTGTGAATGTTTTTATACAATCGATTGACGTTGTAGGTTTTGTTATCTGTTATAAACGTTATTTGTTTATTTTTTGTATATTCTTCGTTAAATACATGAAATTATACATGTTTTCAATTATTTTTATCAACGACACTATAGTAATGACTGCATTGAAAAACAGAGTTAATTCTAGTTTAGTTTAGTTTAGTTTAATCTATTTATTTGAAACTATGGATATTATACTGAGCTTAAAGTCACAGTACTTTACTCGAACGATGATAGAAAGCGTAACATAAATAGACAACAAAGATTACAAAAAATAATTAACAATAATAATAATAACAAACCCAGAGAGTTAACAAAATAATAAAAAACGAAAGAAAAGCAGAAAACGTAAATATGTCGAGTAACTGAGAAGTAGGTGAAAGAGTAAAATGTTACGTGATATACGCAGGATTAATTATGTGTTGAAACGTCGGGTAGACTCAATAAATGAGATTACTGTAAAATATATAATAGAAAATTCATCAAAGACGAGACTTTTTGTTTTCTTAATAACAGTAAGTTCAGATTAATCTTGATTTTAACTGGTATTGAGTCAGTGATGTGTTGAAATAAGTTAGCTCGAGAGAGTTCATTCTCGATGAATCGAACAAAGTATCTATGTACGTATTACAATGTATCCTTTTATCTCATTGTCCTTTTAGTCTTGAACTTAATTTTATATCCAATCGATTCAAGGGATCAATTAATTGTGTCTACTTTAACATGTTGATGTCAGAATTTATAAACACATGAAGTCTTTGTCTAATTAACAAAACAATTTATATGTGACTTTTCTTTTTTACTATTTTTCTACATTCTGTCAGATAAAGTTATTATTAAAATAAAAATCAATTAATCGATAAATCTATACTAGAAAATCTTGTTGAAGAATCGTAATCGCATGTTGTCTCGTTTTTTTATGGTTACTCTTAATAAAGCGTAAATATTCTTTCTAAAATCTTTTATTTAATAAAACTTGTAATGTTTCACACACACACGTGAAATAATAATTAACAAAAGCAGAAAAGTGAGTAAAATAATTCCTATATTTACAATGAATTTCACTGTATACCAGATTTTTTTCAACGTATATTTACAACTCCGATAGTGAAACGGAAGACGAGAATACTGGAAAGAAGAAAGAAAAACGTAAAAAGTTATTTAATATTCTTCCTCATCTTCTTCTGTTTCATTCTTTTTAAATTTTAATGTTTTTTCTAACAAGAAATGAGTTTCTCTTGATGTCGCACAAATGCCTTTTGATCACAAAAGAGAATGTAAGTGTAAAGTTTATCACAAAAACCATATGCCAATAGAAAAAAATTTCTATTTAACGATATTAAGAGTATTCGAACGTGATAGAATAGTATACAATAATAAACAGTTTGTTTTTGGACAAAATCTATCAGCTGTTCTTTATTAGAAATAGAATAGAAAGAAAAGTTGACGCTTGTCTATTTTAGCAAGGTCATTGTTTTCCAACTAAATGACTGAATGATTCGATTTATTTTTCTATTTTATTTTGTATTTTTATGATTTTTAGAAACATTCTACTCTAAAAAATATATATATTTTTTCTTTTCTTTTTTTTCATTATTACTATTTTTTCTTCTTCTGCTCTATATCATCTGATAGGGATTGATCATGCTGACATTTATTTTTCTACGTATACAAGAAAATAAAATTTGTTGCGTAATAAAACAAAACATATGATTATGCGTGTTTTTATTTTAAGAAATGTAATATATTTGAAAATGATTTCTTCCGTTCATACTTTTCTATACTCTTTTCTTCTTCTTCTTCTTCTTCTCCCGATATTAAAAAACAATCAAGAAATTATCTGAAAAATGTTTGACGATCAAGAACAACAACAACAACAGGTACGAAAAACAATCCTAAATGATACACATGTATTTTTTTCACTCTTGTTTTATTAAAGGATAATGATAAATTAGAATCTCTATTATCTCCAATATTTCCTAAAGCAACAAGTTTATTATTTCATACCGGAAATGCGTTAACATATTTCAAGTTAGTAAGAAAAACAAATATGAATATTACAGAAGAAATAATAGAATATATATCAACAATGTTACGAACGTTAAGAAAAAATAATAATTTCAAACAATTTGAGGTAAAGTAATTTATATATAGACATTGATTGAAAAAATGGAGATCAATTTTGTAGAACGAGACATATGTTAAAATTATTCCTGAAGATATAAATCATGAGGGATCATCATCGAATGCGACTGGAAACAGTGGATCAAATACTGTTGATTATGAACAACTTAGCAGAGAAGATTTAAAAATATCAGGTTACTTTTCATTATTTGATAAATGTTGTTTTTTGATAAAATGTGTAAATATATTTATTTATTTTAAGTGAAAATATTTCTTCGCAAGTTGGATCCAATACTATTATCAAACGCAATTGAAACAGGTTTATTTTTAGTTTTTTATTATCAAAATGTTAGGCTTTTTAATTATATTTGTTAGAATCTTTTAGTATTACAAGAAATGAAAGAAAACTATTTAGAAAGTTTATTGTTATCGTTTCCGAATTATGGTGCAAAATTAACTATTGATGAAATATTGCCACTTTGGAACGTTGTTGAAAGTTATATGAATAATCAGAAAATTTTATCAGCAGGTGTATGCGATTTTATGTTACCATTATTATTAGAATTATGTGATCATGCAAAAGTATGCTTGGTTGTTTCCATTACTAATTTAATTTGTATCTATTAAAATTTATGTTTTTCCCAGCATAAACCGTATGCAGATCAAATTAATTTGGGCGTATGTTGTTCTATTCCTGACGAACTAAATAAATATGTTAAAGAAAATGATATTCAACTATTAACTCATAGTGATCCAATGGATATTATTAATGATAGTGATTTTCAAAATTCAATAAAAAATTATTGTCATGAATATGATGCATTAGATTGGCGACCAACATGGGTGGCAAGATACAATTCTATAATAGCAAATCGTGGTATTATTAAAACAAAGGGCTATTTTGTCTATGCTAGTAGAGAATTACCAATCAAGTCATGATTAAACTTGTAAACTCACATTTGTCAATTTTCTACTTCGAATTTGTAATGGATCTATCTTTTTTTATTGATATTATTAAGTAGAAAAATAAGAATCTTTTGTTTTTCTACTATTTTCTCCATCTCATCGTCCCCGTGTCTACTTTCTAATAGCATAATTTTTGTGCCGATAGGATAGGTTTTTCATAGCTTTTGAGCGAGTTTTCCAGAAACTCTATAACAAAAAAAATGGCTTTTTTGCACTTGTATTGCATAAGCGCATGCATGTGCCGCACATGGCAGCGCGCATGTTCATTAGATCCGCTATGGCCGATAACCTCTAGCAAAATATCAGCAAATTGCTTAACGCTCAAACAGCTTTTAAGTAAAACGCATTTAACAGAATCAAAACTTATTTCGCGTTTTTCTTAAGACTGTTTTTTAGCTTCAGGGCTTTCGCCACGCACAGGAATTCTCAGTAACAATACATCGGAGAAAGAAATTTTTGGTTCTTGATTTGTAGATAACACCTATAGGTAGGAGTTGACAGAGTGCGATTTTTAAATTATGCTTTTATTT